TAGTAAAATTTTACCTAGTATTAATATTCTTTACATAAATTAACGTAAGTTTATGGACCTTCAAAGTTCGTGATGAAGATTTATTTCTCGAGATTGGGGAATTACATGAAATTGAATATGACCTTTGATTGGCAATATGCTCTAACATGTGACAAATTATGTTCGTAATTATAAGTAGGGTTGTTAATGAAGTGGCATACTCCGGAGCAGGGACGGTGATTTTATGCTGCGGTAAACATCAATTATGCATGCAACAAAATTATGCATATATTTTCATAATTATGCGCGCCCAAAAATTGTGATTGTGCTGCGTCATGCTTAGCGTTGCAAACTTAATTAAATTTAAACACTAAAATAATTTATATACTTTACAAAAATGTTATTGTTTAGTATATATACGTATAATTACAAAAATTGCAACATTGATATGATACGTATAATATAATATATACCGTTTTGGTGTAATGTACGTAGTTTAAATAACTTGTACGTATGTTACACGATCTATCGGCCTTTAAATACGTAATACAAAATTATTAATGATACGTACAAAAATATTGATTTTTAGCTTTTATAATAACCAAATTAATTTAATTAAGTTTGCAACGCAGTTCGTATCTAGCTTAGTATGAAATCTGTCTTTCGGAGCTTTCCTTAATTTTTTGTGTTGATTGATTTTCTATTCGGGCAATTTCGGAGCAGCAATTAGGGCCAATTATGCGATAATTACTTTATGCATTATCGTTATACCGTCCTTGCTCCGGAGAAGTGTTAAATAACTGTTTTTAGTGTTCTCATGAATATGTTTGAGAACACGATATTTAAAAGTTATTTTCTCATTGGAGAACATAGAGAACATAAATTTATGAATTTTTATAATAGTCTTTTGAGAACATTAAAGCGTTTTTTGAAATATTAAAATTTGAGAACCTAAAAAATTAAGTGTATATATATTTTCAAGTAAAAAAAATTTTTTTCACTGTACCAACTCACATTGGAGTGACAATAATTTGGGAGCAACCTTGAGTAATTCGAAGCAGGTTTGAAGTAGAATTTGAAGCAAGGTTTAATTTAATGGAATGGGTTGAAGATTGGATCAACCCGATCCATCAACAACCTAGCTATAGTCATAACCTATTGGCTAATTATAGGTTATGACCTTATTGCCTGACCTAATGTATAACAGATACGTAACAAATAAAAAATATTCAAAGTATATTATACCACGAGTTCATGAAAAGACTAATGATCCTGACCGATCAATCGATCTGGAAAACAAACGAACCTAAAATACGAAGATAGAAGTTAAAATCGGTTAATCGACTAATCTGGCTAAGCCAATAACAAATATATATATATATATCTGCCAGGATTGCTGGAAATGACGTACGTAGTAATTCAAGTTTTAACCCATTTTTTTTATTATATATTATATATTATTTATAAATAATAACCATTGTACGTTTTCACACATTACGTTAAAGTTCATGTTTTAAAACACCTTACACATTTCTAGAAAATCGTTTTGCAAAAAAAAGGTTGCTTTTTTTACTAAGTCAAATATATTCAACAATTTAGTTACGTATAAGTACAGAAGCGGATCTTTTTTGTACAGTAATTGTGATTGTTGGCGTTTCATTGAAGATAAAGATGATCTTGATTTTTATTTGTCACTCTGAACAGTAAAAATACAATTGTAAATGATTGACCAATCAGGTGAAAGTGAGGCTACATAAAGATTTACATATTATCAACACCTGCAAAGACTATCTTACATTAATTTTGTGTAGGTAAAAGTGGGGATCGTTCTGTTCGTTCTGTTTGTGTACGTAAATGCCACCAAGTGATAATTTCATGAACCATAACTCTCAAAATTCCACCAATGATAAGACCAGCAGATACAGCAGCAGCAATAAGAATTGATAATGATTCATATTGTCTAACGGCAATACCAATAAGAGACCAAGCAAGAGTACCAGCGAAGACAACATCTTTGCGCTTACAATAATCAACGAATGATAAACCAATAAGTCCAAATACAGCGACTATAATGGTGGAAAAGAATACAGTGTCGAGCGCCTGAAACGCGACCCAAAAGTTGAGAGTAGTAGCAACTATGAGCCATGCAGGATAGATAGTGAAAGGGTAATGGATAAAGAGACGATCATAAATACTTTTTGGAGGATATTGTTCAAGATTGTTATATGCAAACATCAAAGCTAATAAGACGCATGCGGCAACAAAAACGTCTAACATATAATAATCCATTCGCTATAAGATGCAAATAAAAATTTAAAATATTTAAGTGTTATGATTTTTATATTATAAAATTCGAAATATATTTTATACTAATAAAAATACCCATAAAACAATCCAAACAATGTTTCCAAGATTTGCGAGAATAAGATAAAATTTAACACCTTCAACGGTAGCAACGTCAGCTGAATTGAACCATTGGTAGATAACGAATCCACCAAGCAAAGCATAAATGAGTCCCCAAATTCCAAAAGTATAAGTAGCTGGCAAAATATGAGTTAATGGCACAGCACCATGAGTACCGTTGCCATGAGTACTGTTGCCCTTAAAATCACTACCGTCGTCCCCTGGTCGTTCTTCGATAGCTTTAAAGTATGAATTAACTCCCAGGACTAAGATATAAGAAAGGAGGTTTGAAGTCTTTAAAAAAATATCGTAGCGAGAAGACATTGTAATTGTAATTTTGTAAAAAAAAAGACTTTTGGTGTCTGTAATGAATTCTTGGTGTATTTAATACACAGTTTTAATACACAGATGGGCGCCTTTATGCATCCCATCTGTGACACCATTATTATGGTTATCCATCATCATTCTACAAACAATGTATTGTTGCACTGCATATATGAGTTATGTCTTATGACGTATTGATAATTTTGATAATACGTAATACATCTCTTTTTTGTTTATTTTATTTAATTAATAACATAAAAAAAAAGCTCTTATAAATAAAGTTTCATGCTACGCATTTTTACTTATAGTTGTCTTAGTAAAATTTTGTGTTATTTACGATTTTGTTTTAGCGTTAGCGTTAGCGTTTGTTTATGTTATACAAAGATCTTGCAATTTTTATTGGTTCCGAACCTAAATTTTGCGATTATTTTCCTCTTGATTCACACGCTTGGCAATTTTTTCATTCTGTTATACAATGATAAACCTTCGTAAATACCAATCCATTATAGTAGGATCAATATTTGGTGTAGGAATCGGCCTTTACGCGTGGCTTCCAATGATGGAGCAATATAAACGGTAAATCAAGAAATATAATACCAATAATTATTAAGATAATTAACATATTTGGAAATCCACCAGTGAAGGAATTTTCGAACAACTCATGTTGCAAAAATCTTATGACAAAACCAACAGTAACACAAAGAAAGATACACCCATGGAAGATGTAGATACCGCTAACCCTAAATTAGTGATGGATCAGTCTTCGAAAAGATCGTCGGAACTGGATGGTAACGAATCAAGAACCGAATGATTTTTTGTCCTCGGCGTGGTTCTAGCTCAAATTATTAGGGGTGTTAATGGTTCAGTTCTGAACAAATGGGACAATAATTCGCGATCAAACCACTACGAGACCAAGTTGCTGCAGAAGTAGGACTGCAGCAGAGTTGAGCTGGTATTTTCTGAACTGTTATAGACTAGATTGCAACAGAGCCAAATCACTAGGTTGCTGTAAATATATGCCGTTATCAATATGACAATGTCCAATTTTATAATAAAGAGCCTCTTTTATCATCAATTTAAACTAAAAAGGCCAGTCTATTAATATTCCTACTTATATCTGATCCAATTCAATTCCGTTTTTGATGATCCCAATTCAATTTGATTCTCTTATATTAATCCAAACTCTATCCAATTTATCCAATTTATCTTATATTTGGTTTCGGTTTTAATCCGATTCTTGGGGTGGAATTAAACTGAATTGACTATTAACATTCCTACAAAATTATAGACCTAACTGATAAAAAAACCGATGAATTACCGTAAATCACCGTATACAAGATCTGGGTCTGTTACATTCCACTAATTTTAAAACCTACAATAGACCCGTGGGTCTATTGTACGAATATGGATCTGATGATCGGGGAGGTTTTATGTGGGGGTCTGATAATCGGTGAGATTTTTATGTTGGGGTCCAGTACTAAGTAGTATATGCATCGTATGTATAAAAGATTTATTTAATATGAATTGCAGGTTTTTATTTCTTAGCGTTACTCAAACCCGTATTATGTATGGCATAGCGAAGAATGAAAACGAATTCAACATTACCCCGAAGCATAGTGTGAAAACTCCTAGTGACGAAGGAGACCACAAGTTCGATTACAAAGAACAACCTTTTTTTAAAAAAAAAAACTAAAATAAAATAAAATAAAGAAAAAAAAATAAGGATTTGATATTAAAGAATGAATCACTAAAGTCTGTGGCATTATAATGAATTTCTTAAGGCCTAGTGAATTATTAGATATTAATCCAAATAGCACTGTTTAATTTTTATCTTTTGAACAAAATTTATAACAATTATATAAATTTAAATTAGTATAGAAATTTCATATATAGGAAAATTATATAGCTAAACAATGTATGATAAATAAAGTCAAAGGATAATAATGAAAAATTATAGACAAGTTTATCACTTGTAAAATTTATAAAAATTAGCAAATCAAAAAGATATAAAGAAATTTAATACTTAGTAAGAAGCTAAATTTAGTGTTAGAAATTGTAACCAATTAAAAAAAATATAATTATAAATATTAGAAAACATTTTATAAAGTTAAACACAAGGTATTTATTATGTTAATTTTCTTAATTTACTAATTTTTTTAAAAAAATTATATATATTAAGTAGTTATTTGTTTTTATATTTAATTTATTCAAAATATTGTAATATATTTGCTTGGCTTAATCAAATTATAGATATTTTAATAATAAATATGTTGTCATCAGTTAAGTTAAACAAAAATATAACTTAATATATAAGAGTAGTTAAAAAATGTTTAAACAAAAAAAATATAAGAAAAATCTAAAACTAAACAAAAATACTATAAAATAACTAAATAATAAATCAAAATAATTAAATTTACTTGAGTATAAATCAAAAATATCAAAAAAAAACAATAATTTCACTATAAAAATTTAATAAAAAATATTATAAAAATACTAAATAATAACAGCCTATTACTAAAAAAAATATAATAAAATAAGGTTTTATTACAAGAATATAATCAAAAATAAGGGTTAAATATATCTACAAACAATATAAATAATCAAAAAATAAGGTGTAAAGTATATATTAATATTCTAAAAACCAGATTAGTCATATATTAATGTTTTAAAAACTAAGAATGGATCATATATTGATATTCTTTTGCTTTAAAAAAAAGCAGAATTTAAATATCTTTTAAATACTATATAATAATATTATCTCTTAAACTATAAGCTTTTCCAGACAAATTTGTCCAGAAAATTATTATAAATATAGTTATAATCTACTTTTTTTAATTTTTAATATATTTAAATAAAATTTTTTTTAATTGATTATCTGTGAGTCAACTAGATAAACCATATAGTAAAATATGACTCAAATTACTATATAAATTATATATATTTTAAATGCCACGATCGTCCAAGGAAAACTTTTTTTTATTAAGTTAATTGATCTTCTATATTAAGAGAAAGTTGTAGAGCTTATTAAGACGCATCTAATAGTGGTTAGATCATCCAAATCGGTTTGGTAGATCTCGAGATATCATTAAAAAAATGTGTTAATAACTATGTAAAATTTCAAAAATTTCTATAGAAACTTTCTATAGAAATTTTTGAAATTTTACATAGTTGTTAACACGTTTTTAATAATATCTCGAAATTCACTAGGCCAATTTTGACGATCTAACTACCATTAAATGTGTCTTAATGAGCTCTACAACTTTCTCTTAATACAAAAGATCAATTAACTTAATAAAAAAAAAAAGTTTTCTTTGAACGATCGTGGTATTTGAGACATATATAATTTATATAGTAATTTGAGTCATGTTTTACTATATAGTTTGTCTAGTTGACTCATAGATCATCAATTAATAATATTTAAAAATAAGAATTATATTATAGTAGTATTTAATTTTATATTATAAGAAAAAAGTTTTAATTACTTATAAGATAAAAATAAACCAATTTAGAAAAAATTTTTTAATGAAAAAATTATTAATACATTCTTGGCAAACTCTTTAAATATAAATTTTAAAGATATAATTCTTAATACAATATTTTAGTTTATATAAAGGATAATATATATATATTTTTTTTCATTTTGGCAAATCACAACAGTACCTTTTATTTAACCATGCGAATCTAAAGTAGGAGTCCATTATATTAAAGTTGAAGGTCTGACATCTTGCGGTTATCTCGAATAACCTAACCGATTATCTACACATATCTACAGGCAAATCTGCCACACCAGCAAGATACTATTCTAAGATAATACCCGAACCAGAAGGCTCGTCTGACCACCACCCTACAATAGGATATCACCAAACTGATGATATCTTCTCATAGGGAAGTGAAAGAAAAAGAAAATTTTTAAGAATCAAAAAAAAAGGGAGTATACTAAAATATGTAAAAAAAAAAAAACAAATAGAAGAAGTAAAACGGATAAATAGATTATAAGAAAAAACTAAACTAAAGTGAAGAACAGTCACAATATCAAGCTCTTTAAAAATTATATACTATTATCTAAACTATTCTCTACTAATAATTTATATATCTAGTATATCTAAGGATTTAATTCAGAGAGAGACTTTCTTCAACAATCGGTATCATAAAGTTGTCGAAGTATCGTACCGTTGGGCTCGAAACGTTATTTGTCCAGGTCGCCACATTCAAGGTATGGGTTTATACGCCTATTTCTAAATATTTTTCCACGTGTTTGTTGTGACAGGTAAAAAAAAATAAACAATACCACCCGATTTAGAAAGTAAACAATATGTCAATCTTTTGGAGGGGTAAACTGAAATGCTCACTTTTTACAAAATTTTCTCAAAAAAAAAGTGGAGGCCAACGAGAGAATGTGAGGTTCTTCTGTAAGTTTTACAGTTGTATAATTGATTCCAAAACTATTACTATTATAGCGAGAGCCTTTCCACTGCTTGCTTCTAGAATAAACCTTCTAGTTTAGATACCAAATAACTTGGAGAGTTTGCTAAACTAGACAAAAGCTTAACCCCAAGAAAAACTATACAAGATACGTTCGCTTCTCGGTATTTCACATCTCTTGACTTCGTTAACAGCAACCTGTTCAGAGGTAAGTTCAGTTCCTAGAATAAACCTTCTAGTTTGGATACCAAATATCTTGAGGAGTCTAACAAAATTAGAAAAAGCTTGACCCCAAGAAAAACCATCCAAGTTATACCCGCTCCTTAGTATTTTACATCTACAGGCTTTGTTGACAACTGTTTACTCAAAGACAGAACCATAATAGTAGATATCTTGGAACCTTCTATATCATTTTTCTGTAGTTCAGTTTTTTGTTACATTGTCTAGAGGATCATCAGAAAGAGTTGACTGAAAGGATAATATTTTTCTTTTTTTTTTTTTTGGTTTTAAGGTGAGGCTTTGCTCGTATCTTTATTAGTAATTTTTGATATAGTTACATTATAGATTACT